GAGGCGTCTGAGGTATCGAGGTGTCCAAGGTGGCAGGTGGCTGCAGATGCAGCCCATCAACATACAACAAAAGTTGGGCAGCAGTTGCAAAGCTGTTTCATCCCTTAGTTGCAGCCTCAGTTGCACCCTGTTGATGTAGCACAACCTGAGCACAACCAGTATACTCTCTGTGGACATTTGAGGACATCAAGTGCCGGGAGTCATTGCCACTGTGCACCAAGGTGCTGTGCAGGCGCAGCACCGCAGCAGCGTCGCTGCTGCAGCAGCGTCGCTGCTGCAGCGTCACCGGCGCACAAAGCGCAACTGACCACAGCGCTCATGGCACAAGGCTGGTGCCATGAGTCAGTGGACATTGCCACTGCACAAGGTGCTGTCCAGCAGCTAAGGGCTACAGTACCCCATCGCAGCAGCGTCGCCGCCGCTGCAGCGTCGCCGTTGCAGCGTCGCCAGTGCACAAAGCGCAATGGACCACAGGTCTGCACTCATGGCACAAGCTCACTGGTGTGAGGATTCATTGCCACTGTACAAGGTGCTGTGCAGCACCTTAGGGCTACCTGAGTACTGCCATGTTTGCTGCATCAACAGGAGTGCAACTGAGCTGCAACTTGAGCTAGAACTTGAGAGGCTGCAACTCAGGGATGAAAGTACTGCCAGCCAAGTTTGATTGCTGCTGCAACCCTGATTTCTAACTCTGTGACTCCAATGGGTCTACGTCTCTGCTGTGTTAGGATCATCAGAGGTGTCGAGCGGTGTCGAGCGGTGTCGAGCGGTGTCGAGCGGTGTCGAGGGGTGTCGAGGGGTGTCGAGGGGTGTCGAGGGGTGTCGAGGGGTGTCGAGGTGTCGAGTTTGGCACCTTGACACGGACGAGCATGGTTTCAGCCTAGATGGTGTCGAGGGGTGTCGAGGGGTGTCGAGTTTGTCGAGTTGGCATGGGTTGTCGAGGTGTCGAGTCGGTGTCGAGGTTTGGTGTCGAGGTGTCGAGGCCAGGGCTCAGTGTGTGGCGCCTTGGTGTGTGGTCCACGGCCGACGTCAGGCCGACAAAGATGGGCGCGCTCTGCTGTGACAGCGGTGGCGGAAGCGGCGGACCGAGGCAGGCGCCCGAGGCGGCGGCGGAGGCGGGGGCGGCGGCGGCGGCGGCGGCGCAAAAACGGCTAAAAGGACGCGGGAACCGGGGTAAGGTAAGGTAAGGTAAATTTCTCCGGGGCGCGGCGCGGCGCCGTCGTGTGAAGAGGGACACGCCGAGAGAGAGCGAGCGAGTGAGTTGCGAGGATGATGCTTTGGTATGATGGGTGAAACACGCCGTGTCATCCCACGCGCGGGCTCGCCCCCGGCCGGTCCGGAACGTTACTCTAGTTCATGATACATCCCTTGCCCTTCCTCTAAACTAGTTTGCCCTGCAGTGGGCCAAATTTCGAGAGACGATGCGCGACGGCGGTTTGCGTGAGTTCCCGCTGCGCAGCGTGGAGGAAGTGTCGGCATTCACGAAACGTGCAATCACACGCGCTCACTGTTCGTTCTCCATGGCAGGACTCATTCGATTGCACGCGCCCGGCAGGAGGTGCCTCGAACGAAACACCTGCACCCGGGATGTGCGGCAGCTACTCGCGCAGAGCTAGCCGCCCGCTCCATCTCCCACCCTGCCGGCTTCAGCGCTCCATCGCAATAGTCGGAGGAGCGCCCGTGGGCGCGTCCTCGAGCACGTATTCGCCGCAGCTCATGCAAAACCAGTCGGTGGCGAACTTCTTGCCCCCGTCGGACGCGATTACGCCCATGCCGTGAGCGCCACTGCAGTACACCCAGGCATAGTAGCACTGGGTGCCTTCTTCGTTGCAGCAGGTGCCACAGGGCACCGCAGCGTGACAAAGGCAGTGACATGGTGCGAAGATGCTCTGCCAGGGGCACGCGCACAGTTTAGAAATATTGCTGGGGGGCTTCGAGGCCCCGGCCTCTTCGCGTACGGCGATTGTTAAGCCCTCAACACATGAATTTCCCCAAAACGTCGCAGGGGGCAGAGAGTGTTGCGGGGCCGCGCTCTCCGCACCACTCCGTCGCAGCAACACTCAGAGACGTCGACCGTGCCCGACTGGGTCTCCGACGGGCAACAGCAGGGACCCACCGTGTTCTTGTACTTCCCGGGCTGCAGGCGGACCGACATCTTGTTCGACTAGAGAGCCTCGCAGCAGAGTTGTGACACGCAAACTACTTCGGATGGTCCACGCGTTGATCGCCATATCCCTGGTTTACTGTCGTTCTCTTTTTCTTTTAATGAGACTTTGCTCTCTCGCAATCTATCGTGCCAAAACAACTATTTCGCCGCGCATCCTCATCCACACAGTTCACAGACACAAGGCGAAAACGTTGGGTTCTAAATGAAAATATTTGAGACACAAGGCGAAAACGTTGGGTTCGATCTAAATGAAAATATTGAGAGTAGAGAGATAGAGAGTGCTGGATGCGTGTTGGTGTTATGCTTAGGCGGAACCACGTCCACGAGCCTCGCGGGGCGCCTCTAACACAAAACAAGAAGCACAACACGACCTCCATCAAGCCGCCGCTGTGCAAGGGAACCGAAAACCTGCGAACAGCTTTCGATCAAAGCGGCATCTCCGGGCGGGCGCGGCGCGGTGAAGCGCGCGGTGTCCGACGCGGCGACGTCCGGCTGCCATCCGGTTCGGAAGGCGTAAAGTGGACCACCGGCGCGAGCACCTAAGCGAGAACAGGGCTCGCGTAACGCGGGGCGCGAACTGGCGCCCGCCCCCAGCCGCCGCGCGCCTTGCGGGCGGATCGCGCCGGCGTCGTGCTGCGCGGCGGTGCGAGACCCACGCGAGGGAGGAGAGGCCCGGCGGCACGAGGGGTGGTCGGCTGCTCACTCGGAGGCGTGTGCGGCGCGCCCAGGCTGGAGTCGAGTGGGTAGAGCCCCCCCATGATGGGGGTGACGGGCGGCACCTCGCCTGCCGCACCGGCGCCGACGGGGTAGAGCCCGCCGGACGGGGCGCCGGGCGGAACGTCGGCTGCCACACCGGGATCAACGGGGAAGAGCGCGCCCGTGGGCGTGCTTGGGGGCATGGCAGCCGCGAGGCGCGGCGTCGTCTGGTGAGCGACCGGCGGAGGGGCGGAGTTGCCGGGTGTCGCGGGAGTTGGGGCGGCGGAGTCATACGCAGAAGGCCCGGGCGCCGCGGCCTTTGCCGACCGGTCAAAGGGAGGGGTGGCGCTGTGCCCATGCCACGCAACCCCATTGCCGGCGGCAACCTCGGCGGCGGGCGGCGGCTGCGCGGCCTGCGTGGCCAAGCTACGGCCGAGCTCCTCTGCGCGCGCCTCTGCCGCCGCCAAGCTGGCCTCCGCCTGCAGAGCGCGCGCCTCAAGCGCCGACCGCTGCTCCGCCATCGCCCTTTCGTGCCGCGCCTCCGCCTCGGCTGCCCTCGCCTCCGCCCTCGCCTCCGCCTCCGCCGCGGCCGCACCGCCGCCGCCTGCCGCCATCGCCAAAGCCGGCGCCCCCACGTTGCTGGGCGCGTCGAGACTGCCGCTGCCGGCGCCAGCGTCGGCGCTCGGGTCGGCGCTCGCATGCGCCAGCGCGAGGATGAGCGCGGCGAACACGGCAGCGGCGATCGCGTTCACCCCTCCCGCCCACCCAGCCGGAGCCAGGCCCTGCTTCAGATCGACGCCGAGGTCGAGCCGCGCAGCAGGGGCGAGCACCGCCCCGACAAACTCTTGCCCGCCGCGGCTAGCGGCCGTGGCGGCCGCCACGGCTGCCAAGATCGCCGCCCAGAGCGGGGGAAGCAGCGCAGAGCGCTGGCTGTCAGGGGCGGCGGCGGCCACCGATGCCGCGAGCGCGCGGGCGACGAGGAGCAGGAGGAGCGCCGCCATGAATAGAGCCACCGGCAGATCGGCGAGGCTCGCGACGGAGGCGGTGGCGGCGAGCCGGCGAGCGAGCAGCAGCAGCAGCACGCGCGCCTGCGCAGGGCAAGGAGGGGGAGCAGCGTCGGGGGGAGAGCTGTCGCGGCGAGCAATGGAGGGAGCAACGCGTGGCTGCTGTAACGGCGGCAGCAAGGAGCTCAGTGCCGCCTGCGGCACGCCCGCCGGCGCGGCGACGGTGATGGTTGCGGCGAGCAGCAGCGGCAGCGTTGCGCGCGAGCAGCCCGGCACGAGAAGCACGCCGAGCGCCGCCTGCGCGCAGGAGAGGGCGAAGCGTCGGTGGGGCAGTGGAGGCGCCTCCCGTGCCGCTAGGCGTGCGGCAGAGCCTGCATCGCGAGGCCGGCCGGCAGCATCTCAACGCGCGGCCGGCGGAGCGTGCGAAGAGCGGTTGGCGCCATGAGCAGCGCAACCACGCCCGCGGCGAGCGGCACCGCCCACCGCGGCGGCGGCGTGTGTGCCGCCTCCGCCGCCGGCGCGTCAGGGTCGGCGTGCGATGCGGGAGGGGCAAAGAACGCAGAACCCAGCGACCAAACTGAGGCGCCGCTCGCCGCGCAATCGCCGGCTGCAAAAGCGCTCGCGAAGCGGCCGCTGAAGTCGGTCGGCTCGGCGCCGATGGCGGCGGCAATCGACGGACTCGGCTCATCGCCCTCCGTGCCCGCCAACCTGTCCGCCACGCGGGACGCGACATCCGGCAGCAGTGGACCTAGAGAGAGCGACAAGCGGCGGGTGAGGGCAGTGTGGTGGCAGCCGCTCGGAGAGAGCGAGCGACGGCGGGCCAGCACACAAGCTCGCGAGCAAAAGAAATAGCCGCACAGCAGAGAAGCGACGGCCCGCCGCGCCGGCAAGCGGCGGCGGCGATGGGTGGCCCACTGCCCCGCCCCACCCGGTCGGCTCCTCGCGCTGCCTGCCGCCGCCGCCGCGCCGCCGCAGCCCCGCCCCTCCCGCGCCTTGCATGGCGCCGTAGCCGACGCCGTCGCCCTCGTCGTGGCCGCCTCCGCGCCACCCCTCGTCGTCGGCCCGGCGCTTGGCGGCGCCCACCTCGTCGTTGTCGAAGCAGTGCTCCCCGACCAGGTGGAGGAGCGGCAAGGGCAGGAAAGGCAGCAGCGGCGGCGCGCAGCGGCAAAAGAGGCCGAGCGAAGCGGCGCATGCGTGCGGCCAGCGCGCGCGCGCGAGGGCGAGAGAGGCGACGAGGGCCGCCCCGAGCAGGCTGAGCGAGGCGCTGCCGCCGCACGCGTGCCGCGCCGCGAGCAGCTCGTCTGCCGGGGCGGCGCCGCGGGGAGGCGCGAGCAGGCCGTCGTCGAGGAGGGCGCCGACGGCAAAGGTGGCGACGAGCGCGCCCGCTTCGGCGCCGCGCCGCGCGCGCGGAGCGGCGCGGCTGTACAGCGCGAGCGCGGCGGCGGTGGCGACGCAGCGGAGCAGGTGGGGCAGCCGCGAGGCTGCGCCTCCGCCCGGCGCGCCTCCGCCAAGCGCGCCTCCGCCAGGCGCCAGGCCGGCGATCGCCCACGCCTCGACTCCGTCGTCGAGCACGCAAGCGCGCGCGTCGCCTCCACCCGCGAGCGAAAGCAGCCGCTGCATCGAAGAGGCCGGGAGCAGCACGGCGGGCGCGGCGGCGGCGGCGAAGAAGGGCTGCAGGTGCGGCGAGCGGGCGAGGAGTGCGGCGCCGGAGAGGGCAAGCATGGGCAGCAGCGACCGCTGGTTGGCGGCCGCGGCGGGATCGTGCGCGCTCGCGTCGCCGCCGGCGAGCGCAGAGAGCGCGGTGGCCGCCCCCCGCGCAGTGGCGGCGGCGGCGGAGGCGGCGGCGGCGGCGGCGGCGGCGGCGCGCTCGGCGATGGAGGGTCCGGCGGGGGGCGGCGGATCGGCGGGGGCGGGGTCGGGAAGCGGAGCCGGTGATGACGCGGGCAGGGGAGGGTCCTCGTCGCCCGCCGGCGGCGCGTCTGCGGGAGAGGGCGCCTCGATGGAGGGGGGCGCCTCCTCGTGCGCCTCCTCCGACGGGGCGGGCGGGGGCTGCTCCTCGGGCGGCTCAACCTCCTCGGGGGGGCCGCCGGGCGCGGGCGCCTCGCCGTCGATACCGCCGTCGAGCGCGTCGCCGTAGGCGTACGGGTCAAGGGGCGGCTCGTCGAGGGGCGACTCGTCCGCACCCGCGACATCCTCCCCCGGACGGGCGGGCGGCCCTGGCGGCGCCTCCTCTCCCGCCTCCTCGGGCGGCGCGGCGGGCGGCAACGGCTCGGGGGCGCCGGCGCCGCCGTCGTGGCTGTCGGCCTCCTCGAGAGTCTCTTCCTCCGGCTCGGGCGCCGTCTCGGGCGCTGTCTCAGGCGCTGTCTCGGGCGCTGTCTCAGGCGCTGTCTCAGGCGCGCCCGGAGGGTGCAAGGCGGGCCCTTCCGGCGGCGAGGAGAAGGGCAGAGGAGCTGGCGCCTCCTCCGGCGCTTCCTCCTCCTCCGGCGGAGCTTGCGCGGGCGCCGCTGGCGCGTGTCCGCCACGCCGAGGGTCGTGCGGCGCTGCCGCTGGAGGCAAGCTGGCGAGGTCGCGGCTGCCGACCGGCTCTCCGCCGTTGACCTGCTCCGCCACGGCGTCGAAAAAGAGCTCCGCCTCCTCCTGCAGCGCGCGGCCCGCGTCCGCCACGCCCGCCACTTCAAAGACGACCGCGGTCGAGCCTGCGGAGAGGGAGAGGACCGAGACGGCCTCCTCCTCCACGGCGAGGGGGCGGGAGATGTCGCTCGCGAAGGCGGCGTCGAAGGCTGCGCGCTGCGCGGTGGCGAGCGCGAAGTCGACCTCGAGGGTGATGGTCGCGCGGCTGGCGGTGCCGTTCGGCGGAAGCTGCGGCCGTGGCGGTGCAAGCGCCTCCTCTGCGCTCGCGTCGGGCGGCGGGGGCCGCGAGGGAGGCAGAGCGCCTGCTGCCTCGCCGGCACCGGGCGGCGCGGCGGGCAGAGGGGAGGCAGGAGGGAGGTCGGAGACCTCCGACGCTGCCATCGCCGCGTCCATCGCCGCCTCCTCCGCACGCGCCGCCTCGGCGGCGGCCGCCTCCTCGGCTCGCCGCGCCGCCTCCGCCGCCGCGTTGAGCTCCGCCTCCGCCTCCGCCTCCGCCTCCGCCTTGGCGACCTCCGCCTGGGCGGCCTCCTTGAGACGCGCGAGTCGCGAACGAGTCGTCTCCGCCTCCGCCTTGGCCTTTAGATTCGCGTCCAGCCGGCGCGCCGCCTCCGCCTCGGCCGCGGTAATATCGGCCCCTCCCTCCGCCTCTGCCTGCGCCTTTGCCGCCTCCGCAGCCGCCTCCGCAGCCGCCTCCGCATAGGCTGCCTCCTCCGCCTCCTTTGGCGCCACTGCCTCCACCTCGGCTGACTCTACCGCAACCGCCTCTGCTGCCGCAGCCTCGGCCGCCGCTGCCGCCTCTGCGGCGGCCGGCGGCGCCCCCGCGTCCATCCCGGTGCGCTCTAGCGGCGGCGGCGCCTCTTCCTCTGTCGTCCTTGCCCGCATCTCGTCTTTCAGCGTGTCTGGAACAATCTCCTCCTCGTCGTCATCGTCATCGTCGTCCTCCTCCTCCACTATCTCTTCCTCCTCCTCCTCCTCCTCCTCCTCCTCCTCCTCCTCCTCCTCCAAGTGCACCTCGTCCTCCAGGTGCACCTTTCCTGCTCCTCCGGCCGGTGGTTTGGTGCCCGGGCGCCGCGGCCACTGGGGAAAGCCCGACGAGCGGGGCTGCACCGTTTGACCGACAGTCGGCAGTGGCGCCGCGGGCGGCGTTAGAGGCGTCGGACGCCGCTCCTCGCTGTCGCTGCTGTCGGCCGGCGGAGCGTCGGGTGCCGCGATGTCTTCCAGCGAGACTGGCGGCGAGGCGCCGGGCGAGGCCAGGTCAGGACGAGGGGAGTCGGCGGCCACCGCCGCCGCCGCGGTGGCCAGCAGCAGCGCCCTGAGCATTACTGGCCGAGCGGCGCTGGGAGCCACCTCACTGCGCGCCTTCTTTTTTTGTGTCTTCTCAGAAAAGGAGGCCGAAGCTTTTGTCTGAACAGGAGGATTGGTTTTGTTGTAGGTGTGATGTTGGTGGTGCTTTGGTTTTGGTGTGCTGAGGATGGGAGGTTGAGAGGCGTGGTTTAGGATAGAGACGGGGGAGGACGGGTGCATGCGCATGGCGAACGGGGGTGCGCGAGGGAGGTGGGAGGTGCACAAAAGGGTTCTGCTATGGACGGGGTTCGAACCCGCGAGGCTTTCGCCAGCTGAGCTTAAGTCAGCCTCCTTAGACCACTCGGACACCATAGCCTTCGACGGAATCGAACCGGGGACCACGCAGCTGCGCCGATGGCGAGGTTGCATCGGAGCAAAAATGCGGGTGGATTTCAGCAGACTCGGGGCGGAAGAGTCAGAGGCGGTCTTATAGGCAAAAAGTGATAAAAATAAATCCGTCCACCTGCCGGCCACGCTCCTTGCACCAGCGTGTTTCCAAACCCGTAGAGGTGGCCCACCGACGCCACATTGCCACCATTGTCCCACGAGCCCCTCCCCGCCGTCGTCGACTTGATGAGCGAGTTCCAGCACTTGACCTCGCCTCGTAGTACGTAGTGCACGTCCCGCATCGTGGCGAAGTCGCCGCCGATCTCGCAGATGTCAGTCACGGACGTGGTTTCGGACGTGTCGTTGAGGTGCCGCGTCACCTCGGGCTTTCCCTTGTCCCCGAGGATGATGCTGCCAACCGAGCGCGCCCGGATGGCATTCTGGGCGGCCCTTAGCACCCCGTTGTGCTTGGAGGTGAACGCCGAGCGCGGAGGCAGCACCGCGATGTATGTATGTAGTAAGGTGAAGAACAGCCAGGCTCGGACTGGACACCAACGCGGTATGGGTGGACGCGAGACAGATGATGACGACACGCACGAGCGACACACAGACACAAACAAGCTCACAAGACACACAGCCAGCTGGCTGCCACACACCCTGAGTTGGCGTACACATAACTCAAGGCCACATCCTCCCTGTCGCCCCCCCCAGCACTCCAAGGTGCCAAGAGAACAAACAAGGGCACAACAACACAACAGACGACAGGGGAGAAAGATTTCTTGTTGGTTAATAAAAATCTCTCCCAGGGGAGAACGCGTGAGGCTAGAGCAGGCTTGCTCGTCCTCTAGCAATCTCCGCCGACCGCGAGGCCAGACCGCGACTCGACCAAATCACTGCGCGCGAAAGAAAGACGCCGCTGCGCTCGGGTGCTGGCGCCGCTCTCGACCGGAACGAAAAAAGAATTTGCCTTTTTGTTTTCATTACATCGAAGGCTAAGCTCAAAAAGAATCCTGAATCCCCTCCCGCTCCGCTCCGCCTCCCGCTCCACCGCCTCCGCCGTCTGGCGTAGGTGGATCGGCAGCCGCCAAACGTGTGCAATGCCATTCCCCCTCCTCCTCCTCCTCCTGGCCCAACATACTGCCACGGCACTCAGGCTGCCGCCACCGCCGCTGCCGCACCTGTCTCCTGCCGCGCTGGCTGCGCTCGCGGGGCTCGTCGTGAGCACGCAGCGGCCGGCGCTGTCATCCACACCTCCGGCGCAGACGTCCGCCACTCTGCGGCCCTCGGCGGCGTCGCAGCCGTCCGCCGCCGCGCTGCAGAGTTCGGCGCGCGACGAGGCAGGGCTGCAGACCGTGTTCGACGAGGACATGAATGGCTACCTCGTCTTCAAGGACGCCGCCGCCTCGCCAAAGCTGCAGCGCTTCCGTTTCACCGGGCGTGTCAGCTCCGACCTCGAGGTGGCTCAGGCTGGGCTGCTCGCGGGCATTGCCGTCGAGGTTGGTCGCGTCATCGTGATGCACCCTCTCGACACCATCCGGGCTCTCTCTCTCTCTGTCTCTGCGTCGGCGGAGCGGGCGGCACCTCTCGCACGAGATTCTCCTCGTGCGGCCTGTAGGCGCGGCAGCAGTCGGCGCAGAGCCGCGCGCTGCGGCGCGAGGACCTCGCCACAGCGCTGAGCGTCCTCAACCTCAACGCCACCGTCGCCGGCAGGGAGGCCGCCAGCGCCACCGCCGCGCCGCCCGCCCCTTCGCCGCCGCCGCCCGCGCCTTCGCCGCCGCCGGCCCGCCTGCTGTACGAGCGCCCGTGGGAGGGGCTCGACGCCGCGCTCCTCACGTCGGCGCCTCAAGGGGCAGTCTTCTGGGCGGTCAAGGACGTGGTGCGGCGGGAGATGCTGGCGCGGCTCGGCATCACGGCCGGAAGCGGTACGCTCTTCCTGCAGTACTTCACGCCGCAGTACACGTCGCCGCCGCCGCTGCCGGCGTGGGCGGTCGCGCTCGGCCTCGACTGGCGCGCGATCGCGACGCTCGTGGCGGTGGCGGCGGGCGAGGTTGCCTACTGGCTGGTGCGGGCCCCCACCGAGGTGCAAAAGACGAGGGCGCAGCTGAGCGCGCTCGTGCTCGACGGCGAGGAAGACGCCGCTGCAGGCGGCGGCGGTGCGAGCAGCGAGCGCGGTGCGCGCGGTGCGGACGGCGAGGGCGGTGCGGGCGGCGAGGGCGGCGAGGGCGGTGCGGGCGGCGAGGGCGGCGGCGCGGGAGGAGGCCTCGCCTCGCGGGCCGCCTCGCGCCTCGCGTCGGCGCTCTCCGTCTTCGACGCGTACCCGCTGCTCGCGCTGTGCGACCTGCCGACGGTCGTGCTGCGCGTCTACTTCTTCCTGCTCCTCCGGCTCGCGGGCGGGGCCGACTACCTGGTCGGCCTGGACTCGCTGACGGCCGACCTGCTCCTCTACACGGCGGCCTCCGTCGCCGCAAACGGGCTGACGACGCCGCTCGAGGTCGTGCGCACGCGCCTGCTGCTGCAGCGCTCGGGCAGCTCCGCCACGCAGTACGCCGGCATCACCGACGCGCTCGCCACGATCTACAGGGAGGAGGGCGCGGCGGCCCTGTTCCGCGGCCTGCCGGTGCGGCTGGCATGGAATGGGCTCTGGGTGGGCGCAATCTTGGGCGTGCAGCGCGCCTACTATGCCGACGCGCAAACCTTCTTCTTGACGGTCGTGGGCGAGGCGGCCGAGGCGCTTGCCAGGCCGCTTCGTAGTAGTGTGTTTTAGTGTGTGTCGCGCAGCGCGCGATATCTTTTCACTTTTGTTTGGTGCGCCACAAAGAGTATATAACACCCCCCCTGGCCCTGCGCCCCTCCCCTCTCCGGTGCTCCGCCGACAAAAAAAGACCGCATCTCGCGCCGCGGGCGGCGGGGACCGCGTTTTGCTCTCCTTTTTTTACCCATTTCCCATTCAATAGTAGAGGTGTCCGTTATATATCTAATTATTTATTTTGGCTGCCAGTCTCTCAAAAACTCTCTCAAAAGTCTCATTTCACGGCACACACCTCGGGCGTCGGGGGACGGGGGGCGGGGCGAGAGAGTAATCGAGTCTCGAGAATAAAGAGAGGAATATGCGGTAGAGTTTACTATACTAAAAACAGCAAATCAACTAGCTCGACTAGACGGCGCGTTGCTGTTGACACCGGACCGGTGCCGCACTCGCACTACCACTGCTGGAAGTTCCTCCACAGGCATCATCTTCCAAAGCATGGCGGCGGCGCCGTCCGAGGCGCGCACTGCTCGATCGTGCGTATGCACACTGCGCACGCGGAGCACGACTTGCTTCTGTGCCCGCTGGCCCAACCTACCCTCCGTTCGACGGGACGGGGCAATGATTTCGGCTGCTCTCGCCGCCGCCGGAGTAAAGTAGGCACAAATGGGCTCGCGGCCGGTCCTATCCACGAACTCGCCCAGCCGGAGAAGGAAGCGACCGCAATGGTACGAGCCGCCGGCGGCCTTTGAGACGGGGACGAAGAACCAGCGCGCGCGTTGTGCGGCCGCATGCGCCACCATTGCATGCGCTTCCGCAGCCTCGGCGGCAGCAATCTGGAGACATCGCTTGAGGTCGCAATGGCGGATCGCACGCACCGGGGCGGCACGCGACCAAGCAGCCATGTCGTCTCGACTCGCCTCTGTTGCGAGCGACAGGAGCCCAGAAAGCCGCTCGAGGCCCGCGTCGAGCATCGGACTGCAACGCGATCACACGCACAACGCTCCTGCCCTGGAAGTGAGGAAGTCGCGACCACCGGCCTGGCATCTGTTACACAAAATAAATAAAGAAAAAAGAGCTGGACAAATACCAAATTCCAAATCGCAAACATAGAAACCCAAACACAGGCGGCGACGTGGCATGCGAGCTCATAGGAGAAGGAGGCGCACAACTTCCAAGGACGCACGAGCGAGAAGCACGCACACAGCAACAAACTAAAAATCTCTCTCTCGCACACAGCCATGACGATGATGATTGAGCGCGTGAACGAATAAAAACGCACACCTCTCTACTGTGAGGTGGGTAAAAAGGAACAGGTCCCCGCCCGTGCGATCTTTTTGCAGGGTTCTTTGTGGGTGTGGTCGGCGACTAGCCGGGGTCGTCCTCCCGATGGGGGACTAGCACTAGCCGTCTTCGACATGGTCCCTCGGGTCCCTGCTTGCTGCTCCTAATCTCGTCGTACATCTCCTCTCCTCGCTCCTGCTGATCTCCGCAAAGTCCTGCTCCCTCCCTCGTCTCGCCCTGCGCGTCTGCTCCGCCTCACCGTCGTCGTCTGCCCTGCGAGCTGCGTCGTCTGGTGACGGGTCCTCCATAGTCGGTTGAGGTCGCCGCCCTCCTCGTGCCTCTTCCCAACGTATCAGAATCAGTGCTCGAACTTTACCGGTATGGGAGTTTTTGGCTAATCAAACCCTAGGCCTGCACTAATCAAAAAGTGGTACGGGATACCAGTTGCCTCACGGAAACCAAAGCGAGTCCGAGTGCATTTTTGCGGCTAAATCGGCGAAATCGGCAAAATACCCGGTATTTTGCGGGTATACCTGCAAAAACCCAGGTATACCCGGGTAATACCCGCACTTTTGCATGGCTTCGCCTCCTGGGACCACACCCACAGCCGCTACACTAAATCAACACTAGTCAACACTCCGCATACCACTTTCGCATACCACTATACCATACCACTTCAAAGTTAATCAAAATATCACCAAATACCGGTCTCAATACCGGTAAAGTTCGAGCACACTGCCAACGTTCCCTCGCGCCTCGGCGGCCGATGCCGTCCGCTCCGGCCTCCCCAGTCCCCGCTAAATAAATAAATAAAACGGACACCTCTACTAGGAGATGGGTAAAAAGGAACAGGTCCCCGCCCTGCGGTCTTTGTGCAGGGTTCTTTGTGGGTGTGGTCGGCGACTAGCCGGGGTCGTCCTCCCGATGGGGGACTAGCACTAGCCGTCTTCCACATGGTCCCTCGGGTCCCTGCTGCTCCTAATCTCGTCGTACATCCTCCTGCTGATCTCCGCAAAGTCCTGCTCCCTCCCTCGTCTCGCCCTGCGCGTCTGCTCCGCCTCCCCGTCGTCCGCCCTGCGTCGTCTGGTGACGGGTCCTCCATAGTCGGTTGAGGTCGCCGCCCTCCTCGTGCCTCTTCCCAACGTTTCCTCGGCAGCCGATGCCGTCTGCTCCGACTCCGCCGTCCCCGGGTCTGCCCTGCCCTCGTCTGCGCTAGCTTCTGTTTCGTCATCACTGATGTCCGTCCTCTTCTTTCTCCTCTTGTTGTATGCTTTGTACATCGCGTCGATTCCTTTTCGCGTGAGCACCAGCCTGAAGCCCGCCCAGCAGCTGAACCGCTCCCTAAGTCGAAGGAGCATCATCAGTCTCACCCACTTCGCTCGCTGCCGACTGTCTCCGCTCCCTCCCGCTTGGGCCGCCGTCGCGGCCCTCGTTCGTCCCACTGGCTGTTGGCCTGTCCCCTCGTTACCTCTGTTATCCCTCCTCCTCCGCGACTCCCTCAAGGCTGGCCGGGCCTCCTTCCACCCAGCGAAGAGCTTCCTCAGCCACTCAATGTGTTCCTCCCTCTTCATTATGCGCGCGGTAGCCTCATCGTTGAGCTGGATCCACCTCTGCACCGCTCCCGTCGCCGCCTCGGCCACGACTTGCAAGTTCCTCGTAACCCCGGCGCCAAGGTCCCTCCGACTCTTCTCCGAGAGATCATCTACCAGCGCCGGCAACACCCCCCCGACGGCTGGGGCTAGTGCATCGTACCCGTCCTCATCCAGCACCCTATAGCGTGAGCCCTTCAGCGCAGCGACATGCGCTATCCTCAGCGTCTTCAGTGTATCCTTGGAGTCGGGTGCCGCCTGGGCTACTTTGCTGATCGCCGTCCCCGTCTGCGCTCGCGCTACTCTGAGGAACCATCTGGCCTGCTCCCTATTCCCCAGGCAGGCGCCGCTAAGCAAGTGCGCCATTGTCGCCCTAGGCGGGTTCTCATCTTCCTCGGTCCATTGCTGCGCGGCTTTCCGCACGATCGGACACAGCGGGTCTCGCTTTAGTGCCGCCCTCCTCGCCGCGTCCCTCGCGGCCTTACAGACGAGGCAGCCCCTGAGTTCGCTCCTTGTGGCGGCTCCCGGGGCATCTCTCCCCGCCTCTCCCCGCATAATCCTCTCGTGATGCGCTCCGTGTGGCACCCCCGCCTGCTGCCGCACACGCGCTCCCATGACGGTCTTTGTCACCACGTTGTGATCATCCACGTCGGCGAATTCAATCTCGCGCTCGCCGTGCTGATCCTTGATCCGCTGGCGCTTGTCCCATTTATGTCTCGTTGTTCCCCTGACCACATCGCTCCACAGCGGCCCCGTCACCCCTGCCGTGTGCGACCCCGCCGTGAGCCCCTCGCCGAGCCGTCCTCGCACCCACTCGTTCGTGTGGCCGCGTGTGGCGTAATAGGTCCTCCGGTCCAGTACCTCCCGCCCCCACTCTCTGTCTGCCGTCCTCCGGCGGTCCGTGTACAGGCACGGGCGTGTCCTCACTGCTTCACGGATGACGGCGGTGGCATCCTCAATCTCGCTGGCCCCCATGTATGCCGTCGCCGCGGCGTCGGCGTAGGCGTTGCTAGCGCACCCCGCGTGGCTCGGTACCCACAGGAACGTGACGGATTCGAGCTGGGCGCGATATCTGCATATCCCCTCTAATGCCCCTCCTCGGTCCCATTCCCTGAGCGCCTCAAGAGAGCCTCTTCGGTACGCCGCCTCGATCTGCTGTAGCGCGGGCTTGCAGTCGCTCAAGACGAGGCACCTCCTGTCCGCCGCATCTTCCGCCGTCGCCATCTTACGCAGGTAAGCCAGCACCGCGTACATTTCCGCGTCTATCACCTGCCAGTCGTCTGGCAGTCTGCCGCCCCACAGCCCCTGCCCAAACGCGAGCCGCAGCTCATCGTCCCCGCTCTCGAGCTGTCCAGATCCCTCGACGGGTCTCCCGAATCGGGCCGGCCCTTCGTACACCCCATACGACACTACCGGTCGCGGTACGAACCTATCCCCCACCCACTTATTCGGCGTGTCTCTCCCTCCATCCGTCGCAGCGAGGTGCGTGAATGGCCGCGCTCTGTGCAGCGCAAGGCATATCCTGGCCACCTCCGCGTTGAGCTCACGGCCCTTCCCTGAGCCGAGCGGCCCTTTATCCTTGCCCATCATGACCTGCGTCCCGTTTCTGTCGGGCAGCGCCCGTGTCCCGGCCTCAAACTCGTCCCACCGCAGTAGGAAGCGCGTAAGCGGATCCTCCTGGAGTTCGGCGTCTCTTACCCACGCGCCGTGCCTCGGGGGTGAGCCCTCCATCTCTCCCAGCCCCGGCACTACCCCTCCCACCTCCTCGCGTGTCGCCAGTTGAGGTCTCGCTACTCCGCTCGGGGGCTCTTGCTCTTTCAGCTCGCACGGCTGCCGGTATCCGAGCGCCTCCTCACTCGCCCTCGCCATCTCTTCCGCCACGTCGCCGGCGTCACTCCCTCCCTTGACCGCTACGACTATGCCGTCGTGCTGCAGCGACAGCACTGCGTGGCCGCTGCGCGTGGCCCAACGCACCTTCGCCCTTCGGCTGATACTCTCCGCCTCCTGAAAGGCGAAAGATTTGACTGTGCGTTCCGGGTGCCCCTTCCCTGGCTTGTGGTGTGCAAGCCAATCCGTGACGAAGCGGGTCATTCCCGTCCTCTCCCCCAGGCTATTGCTCAGCCAGAGCGTGCCCTCGGCTTGCGC